ACTGCTTTTTGCCAGCACGCCTCTACTTTTCTTCCTGGCTAAGGCGGGAAAAATCGGTAGGCCCGACTGTTTTGATGAACTTTTAAACATAGTTTTAATAATGTATTTTTCGGAAGAAGATTAAACATTTTGCTTAGTATAAAGTTACAATAGGACAAGTATAAAACGAAAAGGTTTCTCGAAGGTCCACATTGGGCTTTGTTCGAGGCAATTGGATAAATGTTTGTTGTGGTAATGAAAATGGCGAGAATTAGAAATTAAATATGTCCAGGGAAACTGAGTATGAAAGTCTTATCTTTCAGAAGGAAATTTTGAAGGAAATTTAACAATCAGTAATAAGCCCTGTTTCTTTTCCTCTGTTTAACACCAGGTCAAAATTAAATAATCTTAAGTTGTAAAGATTTCTTGGGAAAGTATAGGAGACTTTTAATGAATAACAGTCCATTTGTTGTGGACTTTTATTTAAGAACTTCCAGCTTTCTTGCTCCTAAACTATTTCACAAGTTATTTCAAAACAGCATCTCAGCTTGTGAATGATTTATATGCCTGCTCAAGCGAATTATCTTGTAGAAAAAATACAAGCATTGCTAGCCTGCGCAATGCGCAGTCTGACTAGCTCTGTATTATCTTGACCCACTTGGCTAATCCTTAATTCGCAGGATTATACTGTTCATACATCGCTGTTCAATGTTACTCTAGTTGAGTTAACATGTTTTTGTTGCAATTCCCTTTTCTGGAACCATTTGCTCCAAATGATAATTCCAAGTGATCGTTCCAGGGAAGATCGTATTTGTAAATTGGTAATTAATTGAATGCCATTGAAAGTAAAAAAAACGCCTGCCCCATCATTTATTCATTTCAAGATACACTTTTTGCAGTAAACTCGTGCAGCATTATGGATCTGCAAGAAAAGGCGAATTTCACAAGACTCAGTAGACTTCTGGTTGACAAAGGAACTGAAGCTTTGAGAAATACATTTGATGCTATACATCCTTCTGCTAACCTACCTGCAGTACTTAACGCCAACAGAGCATCCCTTTCAAGTTTAAAGCCTCGAGTTATTAATAATTCCCAGTGGGATTTACTGTTTCCTCCGTCCGGTAACCCTCCAGATTCCAAAACCTTCGATGTTACATTACTTACAATTCTGTTCCGGAACATTTGTGGTTTACCATCAACAGGATGGGGTGCGATGCCTCTGGACACGGACAGGTCGATGCAAGCAAATATTTTACGACTCAAATCCTTTAGAAATAAAGTTGCACACGCGACGTCAACTCAAGTGGATAATGCGACATTTAAATCTTTATGGCAGAAAATTTCCGAGGTTTTGGTTGAGCTGAACATTCCACAGCATGATGTCGATGATTTAGAAACTTCTCCTTTAGGACCTGAAGAAGTGGAGATACGGAACGAATACGTGGAGATATTGAAAGAATGGATATCGAAAGAAGAAGAGTATGGAAAAGGAATAGAATGTTCTCTAAATCGATTGATTCAGTTTACCGCCAATCTTGAGAAAATATGCAGCAAAGAAAGTGATGAAGATTTCTTGCAAAAACTCGCGAAGCATAATTTCAAGAGTAAAATTGAGAGGAAAGCCAAGTCTTTCTTTCCTGGTACAAGAGAGTGGTTATTAAAACGAGTTGAAATGTTTGTTGAGAAAGAGCAAAAAGCAAAGACGTTGTTATTGACAGCTGGACCTGGGTTGGTAAAAGTGTGTTTGCAGCAAAAGTTTGTGAAGATTTTAAGAAGAAGGGAAAGTTGGCAGCTTCTTACTTTTGTGACTTCAGTGACTCAAACCTAAGAGATCCTATGATGATGCTACAGTCTCTCGCGAGTCAGATGTGTGAAAATATCGCGGGTTTTAAAGAGAAGCTTCTTGATCAGTTGAGGCGACCTCATCAAGTCCAAAGCTTAAACGATGCCTTTCGAATATACTTGGAAAATCCGCTTGATGAATTGGATTTAGAAGAACCAAGTTTAGTCGTGATCGATGGCTTGGATGAAAGTGCAGCAGATAATAAGAATGAAATTATGAATTTGATCGCTGATTACTTTCAAGATCTTCCCGAGCGTATGAAGTTCCTGGTGACCAGCAGGCCGGAGATTTCCTTAGCAAAACTAAGTGATGTTCAAAAGATTAATATTAACAGCAATGATGCCAAGAATAACTTAGATCTTGAATTATACCTTAAAGCTTGCCTTCCAAGTTTAGTCCCAGAAGAAGATGCAGAAAGAGATTCAGAAACAGATTCAAAAAAAGATTCCGAAGAAAATTCAAAAAAAGATTCAGAAGAAGATTCAGAAGATGACCATGATTCAGAAGATGACTATGATTCAAAATATTATTATGATTCAAAAGATTATGTGTTTAAAAAGCTTGCTAAGAAATGCGAGGGTTCATTTCTGTATGCATTTTACGTTCAATCTGAGCTACAGAAACGCGATGATCTTCATACGATAACGTTGGATAAAATAATACAGTTTGTCCCAAAAGGTCTGAATTCTATATACTTGAAATATTTTAATCGCCTTAAAGACGAACTAAGAGCCATAATGCATGACAGTCTTGATGTGTTGAGAATTTTGGAAATGCTTGCAGTTTCTAGAGTCCCTCTTCCCCTCAGTTTCATCTCTCGTGCTCTCGGTTTGACTACAGATTCTCGTGAAACGAGAAAGATTATTGGCAAAGTCAATGAAAGGGTATCGTGCTTTCTCTACGTTTCTGATGATCTGGTGACCGTTTTTCACAAATCCGTTATTGATTGGCTTCTTGCAAAAGGCTACAAAGATCACGAATATACTGTCAAGGTCATGGATGGAAATAAATCGCTTTGGCTAATTTGTGAAAAAGTTTTTGAAGAAATTAAAAAAACTGTTTGGTCCGGACATGATTTAAACTTAACTAATGATGTGAAGTACGCTTTGGATTATGGCTTTGATTATCTAGGAGCATGCAGTATGGAGGAAAGTTTGTTTTGGTCGGTAGATGTTATAATCATATACGTTTGCTTATCTACCTACCATCATGATATAGATGATTTGCTAAAGATCTGGCAAAAAATTGGTCAACTGGATCCTGTAGTAATAAGTGACAAACTACGAGAACGCCTTTCATGGCATATCGCTGAATTTGACTTTCTTCTGGTAGTCGACGGATTAGAAGGTGCACATACTGGTTATTTACAAAGTGTTCTCACACATTCTCCAGAGGGCTATTTCAGTGATGACGAAAAAAAAATTGCAGAGTCGCTTTTACAAAAGGTTCCACGGTTTGTCGAGTGTATCTTAAACGTGGAGGTTTTGCCACTTGCAGCGTGGTATAATGATTCTGAAAGTTTTGAGGCTGTTGGTTTGTCCCACGATAAAACAATGGCAGCCGCTGTTGTACACGACTTCGATAATAAGATAATCCGTGTAATATCCGTACCAAGTTTGGTTGAGCTTTGGCACTTTTCATTAGATTGCATCATTTCGTGTTGCTTATTTGCTCCAGACGATTCATTCATTTTATTTGGGAAACTGGGAACTGTCCTTAACATTGCTGAAAGAAAGAAAGTACCATTTTTCCATGGAAATAAAGAGAGGTTTACGTCGTGTGCATTTTCTCCAAACGGCAAGAGGCTGGTAACTAGCAACGGATACGATACCATTAAGTTGTGGGACGTTTCTAGGCAAAGCTTGCTGGCGTCACTTTGTGCTGACAAAGACGTTGATTGGTGCTCTTTTAGCAGTACGGGGTTGTTTATCATTGGATGCAGTAGAGATGATATAGATGTTACCACAGTTAATGATGTTACAAGTGAAGATTCAGACTCGTTTTGCGTTTGGAATGCCATTACCTGGCAAAGAAGTGATGAGCGAAACATACGTGATGTAAAGCTAAAGGAACCAGGAGTATTCCAGGACAAGAAATGTAAACGTTGTTTTCGATCAGGATCTAAAGAATTAGAAATTAAAGGATTAAAAATCGATGTATATATGTCCGTGACGATTGTGAAAAACGAATTGCAAGCCAGGTCCACAGGAACCTACCATGGTATAGAGTGTAGCTTTTCTTTGAAAAATTGTATTTTAAGTGTCATCGAAAATACTCATTTCACCACGCTTGCTGCTTGGGACTTTTTTTACTGTTATTTAGAAGAGTGCTTGAAATTAACAATAATTGAAGATGATCTGTGGTTCTACGCGAATGCGGAAAAATTATTTGTCTTTAGGACATTAGCCTCAATACACCAACACTCTTCTCGCCCGCGATGCCCAACACGGGTTCTTTCAAGTTCATTTTCTCCTGATGGCTCCCGACTTGGAACCTGTACCTCAGATGGATATATCAACATATGGAATGTCCATACGAACCAAATTGAACAAAGTTTCAAAAGCAATCAAGGCGAATCGTCATTTGGTTGTTGGTGGTCAGAAAAGTTCTTGTTCATGTTTGATTTTTTTGGCAGGATTGCCAGCTTATCAAAATACCCGGTGGATGTCAATTTAAAGATCCTGTTCCCTCAGAGCCAGCAAGTGTCGCTGTGTCATTTATTGGAAGAGTTCGTATCCTTATCAGCAATTGTTGATTTTTCAGAGGGCTTACTCAACTTCGAGTGCGGGGAGACGGAGCCTGTTAAAGTTCTCGATGTCAGTGGAGTTGGGGGACCAAGAATGATGACCTTACCTGGAATTGAGCCTGAAATGAGTATTACAGTTTCGCCTGGTGCTTCCTTTGTCTTTGGTTGTAGTAATGAAAGTACGTATTATATTTGGAAAAGAAATGCGAAAGATGTGTATGAAGTATTTTGTACAGAGCCATATAAAACAGATGGGTGTTGCTTCAGCAACGACTCTAAAGTCGCTTTGGTTTACGAGACAGAAAAAGGTTTTTGTCGCTGTAAAATATTTGACCTGGATACCGGTGTTCGCAGATGTCCAATGATTGATAAGATTATTGAGAGACCAATGTTTTGTCTGAACAAGGACAGCATTGTTATTAGTTGGTTTGGCAGTTGTGGTTGGTTAGCATTTTTCGACATGGAGTCTGCTGAGTTTCTCGGGATTTTCTGTCGACGGTATTTAACAGAGGATTTGCTAAAACAACTAAAACTTTCCCCAAAAGAAACCACGATAGCTTTTCCTAAGATAAATGGCGATATGGAGTTTCTTCGGCTGTGCATACCACAAAGATCTGCCTTTGTGTTGTCCAGGATTAAACGTGAAGCAAGTAATGAAGGGCAAAGTATAAAATGCATAATATTGTGAACGATCACACAGATAAACGAAATGGTAAAACAACATGTACAAGTTGCCAGTACATGTGTTTTTAAACTTCTAGGAAGAACAAACTTGGTTGGTTTAGCATGAGAATTTCTTCTCCGATTTCGTATGAGCGTTTTGTCAACGAGGAACATTTTAATAAGTCATCGTCAAATGGATAATTTTTGGGCAGCGGCTAGACTTTGCTTGGAGCCAGTCTAGAATGGAGAAGTAAGACACCTCCTTCCCTCCGCTTGTCTGGGAGTTCACCTTGGGCAAGTGATATTACCCCCTCGCCTCCCTGCCTAGGGTTACAGGTTCTTATTATTAGCACGACAAAATTACTGGATGCTGATTGGTTGAGAGGAGTACAATTATTTCATTAATTGTACTGCAGTACAATTAATGATTTTCCTAAAACAAACAAAATGGCGTAAAGGTATTAACGGTGATAATTGTGGTCGTGATGATTGAAATTGCAGTGTTGTGATGGTGATAGTGACGGTTATTAATGCAGTATTGTGATAGTGATAGTGATGGTTATTAATGCAGTATTGTGATGGTGATAGTGATGGTTATTAATGCAGTATTGTGATGGTGATAGTGATGGTTATTAATGCAGTATTGTGATAGTGATAGTGATGGTTATTAATGCAGTATTGTGATAGTGATAGTGATGGTTATTAATGCAGTATTGTGATGGTGATAGTGATGGTTATTATTGCAGTATTGTGATGGTGATAGTGATGGTTATTAATGCAGTATTGTGATGGTGATAGTGATGGTTATTAATGCAGTATTGTGATGGTGATAGTGATGGTTATTAATGCAGTATTGTGATGGTGATAGTGATGGTTATTAATGCAGTATTGTGATGGTGATAGTGATGGTTATTAATGCAGTGTTGTGATGGTGATAGTGATGGTTATTAATGCAGTGTTGTGATGGTGATAGTGATGGTTATTAATGCAGTGTTGTGATGGTGATAGTGATGGTTATTAATGCAGTGTTGTGATGGTGATAGTGATGGTTATTAATGCAGTGTTGTGATGGTGATAGTGATGGTTATTAATGCAGTGTTGTGATGGTGATAGTGATGGTTATTAATGCAGTGTTGTGATGGTGATAGTGATGGTTATTAATGCAGTGTTGTGATGGTGATAGTGATGGTTATTAATGCAGTGTTGTGATGGTGATAGTGATGGTTATTAATGCAGTGTTGTGATGGTGATAGTGATGGTTATTAATGCAGTGTTGTGATGGTGATAGTGATGGTTATTAATGCAGTGTTGTGATGGTGATAGTGATGGTTATTAATGCAGTGTTGTGATGGTGATAGTGATGGTTATTAATGCAGTGTTGTGATGGTGATAGTGATGGTTATTAATGCAGTGTTCTGATGGTGATAGTGATGGTTATTAATGCAGTGTTGTGATGGTGATAGTTATTATTGCAGTGTTTTGATGGTAATAGTGATGGTAGTTATTAATGCAGTGTTGTGATGGTGATAGTGATGGTTATTAATGCAGTGTTGTGATGGTGATAGTGATGGTTATTATTGCAGTGTTGTGATGGTGATAGTGATGGTTATTAATGCAGTGTTTTGATGGTGATAGTGATGGTTATTATTGCAGTGTTTTGATGGTGATAGTAATGGTTATTATTGCAGTGTTTTGATGGTGATAGTGATGGTTATTATTGCAGTGTTTTGATGGTGATAGTGATGGTTATTATTGCAGTGTTTTGATGGTAATAGTGATGGTAGTTATTAATGCAGTGTTTTGATGGTGATAGTGATGGTTATTAATGCAGTGTTGTGATGGTGATAGTGATGGTTATTATTGCAGTGTTTTGATGGTAATAGTGATGGTAGTTATTAATGCAGTGTTGTGATGGTGATAGTGATGGTTATTAATGCAGTGTTGTGATGGTGATAGTGATGGTGGTGGTAGGTATTA